CCTGAGCTGTGTGCCCAGCCATCAGCCCTGAGCTCTTGGAATCAGCAGGAGCCAGCGGCACAGGGATGTTCCAGTCCGTGTATCCACTTTTCCCGCTCCCCTGCCTGGGGCTTGGGCGAGAGCAAGCAGGTATCAGGCTGGTCCCTAAGCAGAGGGGAGGATGGCAGGATCTGGAAGCTACTCAAGCTCCTTTTCATCTTTCTTTCCTGTCAGCGTCATGAGCCACATAGGGCAACAGGCACAAAATTGAGCTTGCCTTGTACAGCTATGAAATCTTGAGCCAGTCCTTGCTGGAAATAGGAGCTGAAATAGGAGCTTAGGAAAGTATTCACCTCTACCCTATAACACAATTTGTGGTACTTTTCAACCAAAATTAAACAGAAATAATTTTTAAAAAAAAACTTATAAAATGAATGATAACTCCCCTTTTCTGTCTTTCCCAGAAATAAACCATGTTTTTGTCTTTTTTTGAGGTCATACCCTGGTTACTGCTGGACAAAACCCAATCAGATGGTAAATCTGAAGGCAGTGACGGAGTGGAAAATATATCAAGAGCTCTGAAGCCATTACAACATTTTAATTACATGCTAAACTGTTTTTTCCACAAAGCAGTAACCTTCCAGATGAAGGGATGGGGACCCAGGGCTGATAATAGTTATAATAGTTGCTGACGCCCAGGCTGCAGATTGTGTGGTCAATCTCTTCCAGTCAGCTTCAGCTGATAGTACTTCTAAACCACTGCCCTATCTCACGATATTTTATAGCTATAATAATTATTTCATTTGACCTTTTGTTGACCACTGTCATTTACCCCATATTTTGGCACAAGGAAGGGCTATTACTGGCATTGTGCTCACACCAGCAAGGAAATGCCTTGCCCTCTGAAGACTGACAAATAGTTAGCTTGAGTTGTGCCCTTCATCACAATCATCCATCACCATCATCCTTTAATAAAATTTTTCATTGCGAAGGGTAGTCTGACATGAAAGACTGAAGCGTGGAGTGAGGACTTAATGGTAGTGAGGAAGCTGTGTGTTTGAACTCTAAAGCTCGTAGTCTGGATAAGATGCAGTGGCAGGACTGGGAGATGCTGCTGCAGTCTTCCTGCGTGGGTGTTGTGTGTGTAAGGAGATATAGTAGACTTCGTTTTTAGAGAAAAGCTCTGACTAAACATGAGGTGAGGATCATGTGCTGTTCCCTGATGGCTATTGTAAGAGAAATCTACTTTTTTCCCAGCTGCTTCTGGGCTGTTGGGTATTTTACAGGGAGAGGGCTGAATTTAAGATTTACTTGGGCTAATAACAAAAGGAACAGAAGTGGCATAGCACAGCACCATGTACACGGGTCCTCATTCCTCCCTTGCGGGTCATTAGCAGGGTTGGGAGAGGTAAACCTGGTTGTTGTCTCTGCTGCTGGAGCTGCAGCACTAGCAGGAGATGTGTGGAGGGAACAGATTAGGCAGGAGGAGTAAAATGTGATTTAGTGACTTTCAGAGCTCTCTATTGAGAGCAGAGAACAGAGAGGCTTCAGGCTGAGTTCCTGTTTGCAAGGGCTGTTTTCTCTGACGGTTGTGTGCTGTTCTTTTTCCAGTCTCCAGCCACAAATGTGTCTTTCCCCTCTATGTCTTCAGTTCCCAGATCACTGCTCTGTCCTCTGCCGTCTCCCACGTGGTCCCTTCCATACCCTGCTGAGATTTTCCATTCCCTGCAGCCCATGTGTCCCAGGCAGTGTCTTCTGATAGCTCAGTGGTGTAGCAATTTGGCTGCACAACAGGTCACACAGCTGTCTCAGACCTGTAGTGGAATACACTGAGGTGCTTCAAGAGGTTTATATGTTACTTGGTTAGCTGATGTGGAAGAGGGACGAGGGGATGGACTGTGCAGGTAGATACCTTCATGTGAATCACAAAGTGTGCAAAAACTGAGTCACACAAAGGACTTAACATGTAACCAATTCTGAGTAGCTTTTCATATAAAGAGGGAAAGGCATGTGCCAGGTGAAGCTCTTCCTCTTATTGCCAAGCATCATATCCATGTTGAAGCATCTAAAAAAATACTTACAGTTCATTCCTTTGCTTTAGATAAAGCCAAGCTTCTTTTTCCTTGATTTCCCTCTCAAAAATTATGGAACTGTCTTTGTTGAAATCGTTTCATGCATCCCTCTTTTCTCAAACAAAGCACTCATTCCAAGCAGCATCTCATGTAGGAAATGTTGGCTTCCTAACAGGGCCATCAATGTTAACTTCCCAATATTGCTACCAGCTCGTGTGCAGAATGCATTTCTAATTCCCATTATGCAACATTTCCAGGTTTTATTCTCATAATAAACCCTTTTGTAGTGCTTATAATTGTAGTTTTTTAGAACTCGGCCAGAGAGCTGCATGTGGAGCTGCAACCGTGCTGTCCTTGGAAGTGCAAGACAAGGATGAAGATGAAGGAGATCACCGCAGAATTTGAACAAAGAGCAATTTGCTGGTCACCCATAGAAGGTTACAAATTTGAAAAAATGTTGTAATCAAGTAGTTTAAATTTGAAAAGGCATAAATCTCTGCATAGGATAGCTCCATAGGTCTCTGCTGATTACTTCATTTGCCTGGTTGAAAATACTGCTGCGATTTAACTTCTAGGAATGTCTGAACCATTTATCTAGCGTGATAGTAATGGGGAGTAGAGGAATCAACCTTCAGTCATTTATCCATGTTTATTAGGACACTATGCTAGCATGAGTTTTCTGAATCAGGCATGCGGAGAAGGCTCAGGGCATCCCTGTTAGTATTTTCAGGTATACCCATTGCTATCTGAACGTCAGAGCAGTAATTGCTCTTTATTCCTCCTGTTATAACACATGGCTGTTACAACACGCATACAAGCAAAGAATATGAACATGTCTACAAGTAAGGAATTTGCAATTTGCCCCATGCGGGAAGAGGAACATGCTTGCAGCAAGGTACATTTTGTTACTGCTACAAGAACTGGAGACGATTCCTATTTGTACATTACATATTAACACATACTTAAGTTGCTTAGCAAGCAATACAGACATCTCTAAGATTTCAGTTGATTTCAAGTGTATTTCTTCGGGAGGTTTACTTTTATTTGTAAATATGTAAACTGTTTATTTTTGTGTATTTTCTCAAGTGTTTCAAAAATGGCAAAGTATGTTTTGATTCAGACA